CTGGCAGCATCGGTGAAGGAAAAAACAGAGTTAACGTTTCAGGTCCAGTGACCCTTCCTTGGAACCGGACTCGAAACGTTATCTCTGTTTTTTCCTTCACCGATGCTGCCAGACCTGCTGAGCTTTTCCAGCAATTTCTGTTTTGTTTCCTGATTTACAGCATCTGCAGTTCTTTCGGTTTTTAAAATCCTGGACCTCTACTGAGAAGCACTGTGACAATCCATCCCCTACACAGGTGGAAAGAAGCAATGTCTATATCCTGAGAATGTTCAAGGAAACTTCATGGGTGTTGTGTTTGGATGTTGAAATTGACAGTGTACACATGGTTTGCAGCATGTTTATGTTTGCTGTTTAAGTTTATATTGGAGCTCTGAAGATGTTAAGCAAACTGAACATGCAGTGATATTTTTAGGGGAGGGGAGGGGAAGGAGGCAAGGAAGGTTGCATAGAGAATTGAGAGCTTGATCAGACATTGTCTTAATGTTTTTTTTGGAAGGAAGGATAAAATTTCTATTCGTGAGGTTTGAGATGAGTCATTTCTTTGAACAGTGACAATTGTTACATTGTAAATTTGTGAAATATACTGAATGTGAGGTCATCCTGTTTAGTAGGAATAACAGCAAAATGGATTATTATTTAAATGGTGAAAAATTGTAGCATGCTGCTGTGCAGAGGGACCTGGGTGTCCTTGTGCATGAATCATAAAACATTGGTTTGCAGGTGCAGCGGGTAATTAAGAAGGCAAATGGAATATTGTCCTTCAATTACTAGAGGGATGGAGGTTAAAAACAGAGAGGTTATGCTGCAGTTGTATAGGGAGCTGGTGAGGCCACTTTTGGTCTCCTTACTTGAGAAAGGATGTACTGGCACTGGAGGGGATGCAGAGGAGGTTCACTGGGTTGATTCCAGAATTGAGAGGGTTGGCTTATGAGGAGAAATTGAATAGAGTGTGACTGTACTCATATGAATTTAGAAGAATGAGGAGAGAGCTTATAGAAACATATAAAATCATGAAGGGAATAGATGAGATAAAAGCAGGGAGGTTATTTCCACTGCCAGGTGAAATAGAACAAGGGGGCAGAGCCTCAAAAAAAGGGGAGCGGATTTATGACTGAGCTGAGGAGGAACTTCTTCACCCAAAAGTTTGTGAATCTGTGGAATTCCCTGCCCAGAGAAGCAGTTGAGGCTACTTCATTGAATGTTTTTAAGGCAAAGAAAGATAGATTTTTGAACAGTGAAGGAATGAAGGGTTATAAGTGAGCATGCAGGTAAGTGGAGCTGATTCCATGAGAAGATTAGTCATGATCTTATTGAATGTCAGAGCAGGCTGGAGTGGCTAGATGGCCAACTCTTGCTCCTATTTTCATGTGTTCTTATGTCCTTGTGGGATGTGGGGTTGGGAAATCCTTTGGATTACTGGTAAAAGTGGAGCAAAACTTTAATATCCACCTTGTAGAATTCCCTCATCAGCCATGCCCAGTTTTGGGACGCTCCAGTTTCGCCTCAAACCTCAGTCTGAGATCATGGGGATTTCTTTTGTGGCAAGGCAAGTGAGGGCACTGTCGCTAAATCTGTTGGCTTTATTATTTTTAGCTTTATGTTGTTGTGTATGTGGAGAGGGAAGGGGAGAGATTCGACCTTTGCAAGGACCACCCAGGGTTGACTCGACTCCTGGCGCCATGATCCAGGTGCTTTGACTCCGGATAGAACTTTCCCTACACTGAGCAATTCAAGTGCGAGTCCATCAGGAGCCACGTCAACTCTCCTCAACTCTTCTGTGTCGGAAGAAGGACTGAGCTTAAGAGCAGATAGACCCAACGCATAATATTAAGTATTAAACCGGGGGTGGGGGGACGGTGCTATACGAAAACACCTTTGGACCATTCTGTGCAAAGAATGATGTTCATTCCTTTAACCCGTCAGGAAAATAACTTGGAAAGGACATTATTTTGTCAGAAGGAAAGGGACAGGAGGAAATCGGATGCTGTTCGTTTCACTATTGCAAGCGGCGAAAAGTTTGAAGTTATCTGAGTTTAACGACTGATTCTGAGCAGAGCTGATGTAATGTGGTGGGAATAACGGTATTGTCTACAGCACTACACACACAAAAGCCAAACAGAGAAAAGTAACGCAGGCTTGAGGTGAGAGGGACTGCGGTTGGAAAGCCCCTCGGAAAATACCGCACGAAGGGGAGGGGAGAAAGGAGCCGGGGCTCTGTATAAATGGCTCCTGCGCCTGATCGCTAAAGTATTTACAACAATCAAAACAGAAACCACCGCTTCGGCAGGGATTCATTGTTAATTCAGAAGGAAAATTAAGCACCCCTTCGAGATCGCTTTTTCACACAAAACTGAAAAAACAAGCTTTGGACAAAATGCTGAAACCAAGTATCCTGGCGTGCTGCGTTTTATGTCTATTTCAGGTAAGTTTCAGTGTGTTCAATTACTGAGAGATGATTTGAAGTGGAGTTAGATTGCTTCCTTTTGAAAACCTCTTTATAAAAAAAAATGGAGCGCGAATTTCTTTGGTGAGTGAGTGCGAGAGAACAAAGACGAGAGTATAGACCGCAGTGGAGTTGTTCAGTGATTAATGAAACATGTTTGAATGTTGCGAGTCTCATCAATAGGACAAGTGAGCTGGGGACACAAGACACTTGCAAGTATAATATCACAGTTACTACTGAAAAATCGCTTGGGAAAGGGCAAGAAGAGTTACTGGACATTTCTGATGTACAGGGTTTTCAGATAGGGGGGTAGGCAGCTCAAAAATAGTTGGAGATGGGAGTGGGATTGCTTGAAGAGACAATCAACCAGGAGGGACGATGTCCTCAATGTGGAATAACAAAGGAACAAATTCACTGCTGGGAATATACTGTACATTCCCAGTCAGCGGGAGATAGAAGAGCAAATGTAATAGGCTCGATGTTGCCAAGTGCAGAAACTATGAAGCGCTAGTAGGAGATTACAATCAGTTAGAATGCCTGCAAGGTTTTCGAGGGCACAGAATTCCTGCAAGACATTGGGGGTGGTGATTTTTTTCCAGCAAAGCCCAACAATGGGAGAGGAGTATTTTCATCAGTTTTGCGAAGTGAAGATGGGCAGGTGGAAGGAGTATTAGCACTTTCATGCTTATGATCAGAATTTTGTTAGCTGTACCGGTAACTGCGGAAAAGGGCAAAGATTGACCTAAACAAATAATAGGTGACAATGCAAACACCGTGGACCCGGAGGCTGCGTGTGAACTATTGCTGACGTGATAAATATAGTGAGAGGGAAAATAGCAACTGGTTCACCATGTTTGACCATCACTAGAGCACCAAGTGAACCTACAGCAGCTGCTTGCTATCCTCACTGGCTGAGGGTAAGGTGCTAGAGTACTTCAGGACTAGTCACTTTGTACTGCTGTTGACAAAAGGCGGAAGGGGTCAGCCAAGTAACTTGGGGATCCTGCAGCCTTCTGGACTCAATATTGAGCTCAATAACTTTTGGGCTTGAGCTGTCCCATGTCCTTACCCCAATCCTTACACAACCAGGCCTTGTTATCACATTGTCTGCTATTACACACAACCATTGTTGGCCAGTAATAGTCCCCATTAAAGCTATTCACCCTCCTAGCCAGATCATTAATGACTCCTTTGTTTGTCCCACTGTTCTTTTCCTTTTTTGGGCTCTATCCCCACCTATTGTTTACTCCTTACCTCCTCCCCCAATCCTATCTCGTGCATATAAACCAACACTTTCCTAGTTACCATTAGCTCTGAGGAAGGGTCGCCGGACTCAAAACGTTAACTCTGATTTCTCTCCACAGATGCTGCAAGACTTGCTGAGCTTTTCCAACAATTTCTGTTTTTGTTTCTGATTTACAGCATCTGCAGTTCTTTCAGTTTTTAACTACAGTTCAGTTGGTCTAAACATATTGGTGGGCAAATTATTGGAAAAATGTTCTAAGGCACAGTAGAACTTATCCTCAGTAATATGTGGATTCATCAAACACAGCATGGGTTTGTTAACAAAAGATGATATTTGACTAACATGATTGGTTGTTTTTGAGGAGACAATGGAATGAAAAGGCAAGATGAGCTGGTTCATTTGGTATAGTTGACCCAGATATTTCTAAAGGTTTTGACGACATCAAAAATACAAAATCTCAAAGGGTCAAATTTAAGTTACAAGTTGGATCCAAAATGAGCTCAGTGGCTGAGTTGAAGGCATCAATAGGTATATTTGCGACTGGAAGGTTGCTTCCGATGAAGATCAGCCCAAGATCCCTTGTTATTTTGTCATGACCAGTAATTTACATTCAATTGTAGGGGTCGTATTTTAAAGATAATATAAAGGTTGGCCTTGTGATTGATAATAAAGAAAAGATTTGACTGCAGGAAGCTAGCAGTGGCCTGAACAGGTGGGTAAAAATGTGCCAAACGGAATTTAGGTCTGAGAAGTGTGGGGTAATACTTTTGGGGAATGCTAATAAAACAAAGAGGACACAGCAAATGACAGGTTACCATAGTTTGTCAGGTAACAGAGGGACTTGGAGTGCATAGTCACAAGGAGCAGGATGGATAGTTAGGGGGCACAAGAATATATACGGAATACTTTTGTTCATTAATCAGAGCACTGAATGTAACCACAGGTAGGTTGTATGGAACTAGACATTTGAGAAAAAAAAAGCTGTTAGGCCACAGCGAGAGCATTGGGAATAATTCTGGTCACTGCTTTGCAGGAAGAATGTGATTCCACTATGGAGCTATGGGAGCTTTATTTTAAATTCATTTGTAAGATGTGGGTGTCACTGGCTTGGCCAGCATTTATTGTCCATCTCTAATTGTCCTTAAGAAAGTGATGATGAAGCTACCTTCTTGATGCATTGCAGTCCTTAAGGTGTCGGGACATCCCTACACACCAGCATTCCCATGTTAAAGACTCCACCCACAGGTTCTTTCCTCACACAGTACTCCATGACAAGCATCCTTCTCACTTTGAAGGACTGACAGGGAGAGAAAAAAACAGAGAAGGGGGGAAAGTGAAGAGAAATTTTTCACCTGCATCAGATCTTTGCTGAAGTCCAGATCTCCAGTGAGATGGCTATGAGGCTGCTCTGATTGGTCTCAGTGGCCTGGACAAATGATGGGAGAGAGAAAGCCAGGGTTCCTGTCTCTGATCACTATCCAATAGCCCCATTGTTAGGAAGGCCACGTGAGGGTCAAACATGATCCATTGCTTGGTGGAATGGTTTTGCCTGCAATCACTCTGCAGTTTCAAGAACAAGGAATGAACCTCAGACAAAACATGAGACAGCTGCTGGGAACAAGAGATTACTGAGTGAGAAGTGATATTTTCTCGGTGTCTGGCCACATTTTAATTGTAATATTTCACTTGTACTTTTAGATTTCAAAGGGACCAGTGCCTTGTGAACGTGATTAACTGTGACCATTGGTTACTGTTGTCATTTGTCAGTTAGTAGTGAAACTATTGTGAAACTCTACCCCGCCTTTCAACCAGCATAGTTTAATGTGGAAGAGTGTTGTACTAGAGGTACCACATGGGAAGATTGAGGTGAGGGGAAGTGTGATAGGCTCATGAAAGGGAAGTTAGTAGAAGTTTCTGTTGATAAGGGGACTTGAGGTAAATCAAGTGGGTAGAATCTGATGCACTGCACAAACATTTGTGTAGACTGATTGTGCTGAATGGCCTGCTTCTGCACTGGAGATTTGATGCATTTTATTGCTGCTACCACAAGGTAGAAAAGCTAATGTACACATTGAGCTGTGCTTGTGATCTAGTAGTGAGGAGATAACCCTAAGGGCTGTAGAAGTGTCAGGCTCCATTATGCGCTCCAACATAATCTGAGTTAATATTGAGTTATTATTAATCATTGTACTATAACCACAGACTACAATCAGAAGTAATCAATTGGTTTCCATCTTCTCAGTGAGTCCAAACAGTGCCTCTACTGTGTGTTGTCTATTGGGATTGGTCCTTTGTTGTTTTGGTGCAGTAGTGTACTCTACAGATTATGACAACATTAAATTGCACATCAAAGAAGGAGGCCATTTGTCCCATCATTCTTGTGCTGACTCTTTATGGAACTATCCAAATTGTCCCATTACCCTGCTCTTTCTTCTCAGAACTTGCACAACTTTTCAAGCATACAGTCAAATCTCTTCTTGGATATTAATTACGAGCAACTTATTTTCACTCGTTGGGAGTTTAGGCCTAAAGGACAGGTTTAAACATTAGAACCAAGCCTTTTAGGAGTCAAATTAGGAATCACCTTTACATCCAAATTGTGGTACAGGTATGGAATTCTCATTTGTAAATATTGATGATAAATCAACTGTTAATCTTAAATCGGAGATTGATAGTTTTGTTTTAACCAAAGTTGTTAAAGACATGAGGAAATTTAAGTGAGTTTGCAGATCAGTTATGATCAAATTAAATGGTGGGTGGAACAAACCCATGGGACTTAATGGACTACTTCTGTTTCTATGCTCGAATACAAGTTGCAACTGAATCGACTTGAATTACACTGGGTAATATAGTAAAATAATACTTTCTATATTCTGTGCAATCTATTGAGTATTTTTATCCAAAGAAGTAGTGATTGCTTGGTTGAGGTGAGGAGGAGTGTGTGCCATGGTTACTGTGCAATTGGGAGGAAAGAAACAGCAGATAATTTTACTTCCAAGAGTAAAGTTTATAACAAGCTTATGAGATGTCAAACTGCCTGTTGAATGCAGGGGAACCTAGAGCTCTTGTGTTCGTCAGAACATGATACAAGAAAATGCAAATATTAACAAAAAGCAAATGCAAATTGTATATCATGTGACTACAAATAAGGAAGTATGAAATTAATTTTCAGAGAGAGTTACCAGGATTTGTGGCTATTACTATTTGTTAGTGATACTTTAGACGGTAACACTCTGCTTCTGAGTCAGAGGGTGTGGTTTAAAGTCCCACTGCAGGCCTTGAGAACTGTAATACAATATTGAGGGAATGCTGTATTGTTGGGAGTGCTGTCTGTGGATAGACAGTGAACCAAATGTGTCCTCTCAGGTGGACATAAATGACCTAATGGTACCATTTGAAAGGAAAACAGGGAAGTTACTCCCTGATGGCTTGGGTATTATTAGGTTTAGGAATCAGCTTTATGGCTCTTCCTGCAACCTGTGCTTCAAGATTTCCCCAGTACTTTTGATAATCAGAGGTGAATGTAATGTTCAAGGTGCAATCTGACTTGGGCATTATGAAGTTTGATTGTTAAATCCTTTGCTTTATAATTTAATGTTTGCGATTATATAGTTCAACAAGCTATTTTGATATTTAGTGTCAATGTACAAAGACTCCCAGGTCTTACAATGGTAATGGTGTCTTTTTGTAAGATCTTCCAAATCTGTTGACGAGAAAAGTGACCCAAAACTTG